TCATATCATTGTAAATGTGGGTGAGTGCGGAGTGGAGACTCAAAGCCCATTGGTAGGCAACTGGACACCCCCTTACTGAAGGGTTGTGGGGAGGAGATGGGCCAGTCAGGGTGCAGGGTAGCAAGGATGAAACATATAACTTTCCTCTAGTTCTTAAATGCTTCCTCCCCCAACTATCATGATCCCAATTCTACCTTATAAATCTGGCTAGACCAGAGGAAGTACATTGATACAGATAGCAACTGGAAACACAGGGAATCCAGGACAGATGACTCTTTCAGGACCAGTGGTGAGAGTGGCAATGCCTGGAGGGTGGAGGGAATGTGGGGTAGAAAGGGGGAACCAATTACAAGAATCTATGTATGGCCTCCTCCCTGGGGGATGGACAGCAGAGAAGAGGGCAGGGGGAGACCTTGGACAGTGTAACATATGACAAAATAATAATAATTTATGAATTATAAAGGGTTCATGAGGGAGAGGGTAGGGGGAAGGGAGGGAAAAAATGAGCAGTTGATATTAAGGGCTCAAGTAGAAGGCAAATGTTTTGAGAATAATGATGGCAACAAATGTACATATGTGCTTGACACAACGGATGTATGGATGGATTGGGATAAGAATTGTACGAGCGCCCAATAAAATGATTTTTTTTTAAAAGGAAAGAAAGTTCAGATGAGTTGGGTTCTTGAATCTTCAACGACACACCTACAAGCATGTGATCCTGCCACTGTAAAAACTGAAACATGTGTCCCTGGTGTTGGAACCAGGCAATGGGCGGAAGTTAGAAGAACACACTCAAAATAAGTGGCCGGACAATGGGGAGACTGTTCCTAGAGACCAGCGGAAAGGTGGCCTCTTGAATAATGGTAGAATGTCAGGCAGTGGTCCTGTCTGCGGTAACAGAAAGTGGAAGGGAGACCTAGTAAACCCATAAACCGTAAAACCGATGAGGTTTCAGGCAACATATTTGAAGTGCTAATTGGCTAACTCTAGCTACCTCTGATAAAATGTAATGAGAGAGAGGACCTAAAGAAGGAGCTGAGGCTTCGCCATTTTTAAGAAAATTTTAAAGAAAACAGCAAGGACACAGGACAGTTTCTGACAAGACTGAAAACAAGGGCTCCAGGGCTAAGAGAAAATCCAGGGCCCTGTCAGTACGAAGATCTTGGGAGCAAAGGTGAAGTTGAAAGGAAGACCGCTAATTGAGACCTCAGGAAGATTTCAGGGCAAGCCTTGTAGATCTTCTCAGCTGAACAATATCATTTCTAATAGATTCTGAGAAGTGTCAAAATGGGTCAAAGAGTATTAGATCATGTCTATCTACCATACGAGTGAGCTTTTAAGAATTGTAAGGGGCTGAGGGGCTGGTCGCAATCCCAACTACTATGTGGACACCTGTCCCTTCCCCCAGAAGAATTTATTTCAAAGGACAGCATTGAATCTGCAGCTCTGGGAGAGGGACATATCTGATCAGAGCACATGGGAGCAGATGAAGGGGGAGAGAGTGGAGCACATTCTGGCCCACCGGGCCTTGAGGACGATGACCCCAATTAGAGCAGCCAGTCCACAGAGGGGACCACATGGCCAACCCCACTATGCGACATGACGTCCCTCACTGACCCATGGCCCTGAGGGGGACAGCACGGAGACACAGTGTGGGAATTGCGCCCGATCTGATCCCACCACACCGAGGCAAAACACTAAGGGGGTGCAACAGAACAGCAAGGGAACGGAGCAGTGAGGTCCCCAGGGAATGCTGAAGGTGGACTTTGGGAACAGGGCATGGTGCCCCAACAG